CTCATCAAGCTCAAACGAAACAACGATTGGATGCATCTTGCTAGAATGGGAACTGCGTCCAGCCACGGTCATCGTCAACGGATATGCCCTGGAACGCGAGATGTTTCGGTGATGTTCGATGTATTCAATCTTCAACAACTGAACGACGATCGAAAGGCTGGCACCGACAGACACCACGCAGATCGAAAGGTTACGCCCGAGCAGATGCACTTCCATGTGGTTCAGTCGAGCCTGGTATAGATGCCAGATGAATGCAGTAGATGTACCTGCGAAGAGAACGCAACATGCATCAAAAACATGCTCGATCGTGTCGCCAGGTAGCCAGCGCCATCTTCCGTTAGGACAATGAGAAGCTGAGCTGAAGCCCATCCTTGCTACATTGGTGATCGCTGCGAGAGCCAGAAACATCCATTCGATGGGGGTGGAGCCATTGACTAACGAGAAAGCAATGTACAATGCTATACAAGAGAACTGCACGATCTCGTTCATGGCCACGGTGATGTAGAGCACGGGTACCATGCAAATAAGACAGCAGCGAGATACGATGACATCCAGGCTGCTACACCCCATGCAGACACACCCCTACGCCTTCACGACTCGGTTCGGCTCGAGCGGTCTGCACAATAATGCCCTGCGCCACAAAATGGCCTGAGCCTAGACGGCTTGGGCCAAAATCGTCGAAGCAATGAAGCGGATCGGATCCGAACAGGCATCGAATCGGCAACATCGGCACGAAGTCGGAACCGAATCGGATCGGCCGCATCAAGAAATACAAGAAACACAACAACGCCATGCAAACGCAAGGACGCATCGGATCGTCGGAACACGGGAATCGGACCGGATCGGGCCGGGCCGATCGGATCGAGAGGAAGCAACCGGACATTTCGGGACCGGCCCGCCCCCAACAGCCTTCGGGGCTTCAGAGACCCCCTGTGCTTGAGTATCGTTTATCCGACCCCCATCCCCAGCGGCGTGGCCTGGGCCCCACTCGCCGATTTACTCCCCTAGATGGGGATATAGGCCGTTCCCTTCGGGTTTCGAGGGGTGTATCCCCAACTGGGGGGATATTTGGTGGGGGTCTCGAAGGGGATGGGGATGGTGATTGGGATCGGATAAACGATACTGAGCAGTGCTGACTGCGTGGTCACAGAGGGATGCGAGCGAGCGAGCGCCAGCGGATTCCCGTCTGGAAGCTCTCAGTTGTGCCAGAACCTCCGCGCTCGAAACCTGCCTGGGTCGTTGGGGAGGGCAGGCTGCGGAGGCGGGGGGATTATCAAGGCAGCTCGGCACGGAGGGCTCGCGCAAGGTAGGACGGAGAGCGGGTGCGAGCGGAGGACTACACGTCGTTCATTTCTAATCGTGCTCATTTCTAATTGTGCTCGTTTCTAACTGTTCCTGGCCCCCTAGTGGCCAGGAAGAGGCCCAGGATAGACCAATTAGAAATTAAAGGATCTTGGCCCTCCAAAAAATCAAAGAACTTTCGAAGAATAAGAAATGAACAATGTGTAACCGTAAAGCATTCGCTGTGAGCGGGTACAAGAAGGGGATGGGGGACATTCGGGGGCCAGCACGGGGCCTAACCCTTGCATTCGGGACTGGGGAGGGGTGGGCTCGAGGGCAAGGGCATTCATCTCGCACTCTTGAGACTCCCTGGGGGTCCCTCCGGTCGGAACGTTCGGGCTGGCGGCAACTCCCAGCGGACGTAGCACCACCGTCTCGCGTCGGTGCTGGACACCCAGATCGTTCGCGTCCTGATCTGTCTCGTGGTCCGTCGAAACAATCTCGGCAAAACTGCTCGGCCCCGCCGACGCGGTCAACCTGGGCCCCGAACGCCGTTCGCCATCGGACTCACCAGCCTCCGAGGCAGCGCCCGACACCGCAAGCCGCCCGTAAGGACGACGACGCCGCAGCTCGCGACGATATCCTGGCAAGGCGGCTGGGCCTCGCCAGCGCGGTCAACCTGGACCCCGGGGGGGGATTATGCCATTGGGCCCGATGGCCCCGTAGGTAGCACCCAACGTCTCAGGCAAAGGCCGACGGCACCGCAGCAGGTGACGAGGGAGGGCCCAGTTCTAGAGCTCCTCAAGGGCGCGAGCTTGGCGTGCAGCAGCCTCTCCACGTGCGACACGGGCGCCAGGCTGGACTCGATCTCGCCCACCAGCTGCTCCAGGCATGTCGCGAACAGCTCCGAACCCGATGACTTTCCCATGGCCCCAATAGTGAACGCGTCTTTGTAGGTCGACGCCGCTTCCACGAAGAGAAAGCTGACCTCGCGCACCTCCAAGGGTAGTTCTTGAATCTCCACCTTCAGCTTGCTTAGGTTGCCCTTGCTCGCGTGACCTACTCCGCCCCCCGCGCTGTCGAGCCCCTCGATGGGACCCGCCAGCGCCGCGCGCCTGATCGTCTCGATCTTCTTCAGGCCCGTCTACGACTCCCCCCCGGCTCGGAGCATCTGCGCGCTGGCTACCCAAGCTCGCGCTCTGATCGTCGCCTTCACGATAGGCTGCAGGGCGACTGGCGCGGGGGCCGCGCGGCGCATCCCGAAGTTCATGACTGGGAACCTGCGCCTCTTTGATCGCATTATCGTCGAGGTCTGCGAAGGCGCATTCGTCAAGTATATTATTGCCCCCGCCGCCCTTTGATCTCCTCTGCTGCGCCGGCCTTCCTCTCGCTCGCGACCACCCGCCGACCCGCCCGTCTGCGCTCCTGCGCTTTAGACCTCCTTCGGGGCGGGTGCAGCTTGGAAAATCGCAGTGCAAAGCAAGGAGTTTGCGTCGCAGGTTGCCGGCTAGATGGCCCTCGCATCGCTCCTCTGTGTCAACTGTCTGAGGGCTGCATGGGGAGATAGGGATAGGGGCGGCGTCGTAGTTTAAGGGCGATCGGTCAACATGGCACCGGCCGCAGTGATGCGCTGTCGTGATATGCCTACAGGCCACTCCATCTTTGAACGAGGACCTACACGCAAGGCGCTGGCTCGATACAACTTGTTTGGACAAGAAGCGCCAATTCCTGCGCTGACCGCCCGAGGCGCGCAACTGATGCGCGCGAAGCGCTCGTTTACTCTTGGAACGGCGGCCGCGGATCACAATCCAGGCAGCGCGCGCGATCTCCGTCAGCGACCTCGTCAATTTTCACCTCGCGCTCGGTCGGCGCCGCAGCCGGAGCAGCCACTCCGCCCGCAGCTCGGTTATGTCGATCGCGATGAACAGGTTCCTCGCGGTCTCGACGTGGCGAAACAATCAGCGCGTCGATGCAATCCTCGTCTTCCTCCAGCGTCTCTCGGAGCTTCTGACCTGGCTCGATGCACGAAGAACTGCCCCGCCAATGGTCTGGTCGCCGCCGGTGAGGGGAGCTCGCCAGCGCTTGGGTCCATCGAATTGACCATCTGTACCTCGGGCCCCTCGTGTGCCATCATCCCGAGCGCGGCTGCCAGTTTCTGCGCGCGTCAGCCTGGGCTCCTTGCCACAATTTGCCATTCTCGTAGTAATAATACGGATAATAATGCGAATTATTTTAATAGTAGTACTAGTACTAATACTAATACTAATACTAATATTAATACTAATACTAATACTAATACTAATACTAATACTAAGACTAATACTAATACGAATACTAATACTAATACTAATAGTAATAGTAATAGTAATAGTAATAGTAATAGTAATATTAATAATAATAATCATAATAATAATTATAATCGTAATAATAATAAAAAAAATGATAATAATAATAATAATAATAATAAGATTCTGGGCACCAGCCAAGCGGGCGGGGGCCGCAGCGAGGGCCGCATCTGCTCCCTGGATGGCATCCGACCGGTTCTTCCATCAGCCCCTGCTGCCCACTTCGCCACACCTCCGAGTAGTGATCACTCGATGTCTAGATAGCCCACCTGCGCGTTGGTCGGGGCCAGCTTGTGCATGAGCTCTCCTCTGCTCGTTGCTCGCAGCCACAAACTTACGGCGAAGGAGCAGGAGCGGGACAAGCACGAAACCCAAGCCAAGAATAACACTGATTATACAACGCAAACCCCTATCCGTACAGCTTCCCAAGAACTTGCTGAAGAAACGCTGGGCCAATGAAAGCGAATGGGGAGCGTCGCTGGTTCGCCGGTTCGCCGTCTGGACCCCCCCACCCTCTTTCTGATCCATCGTCCCTGGCCCCTTCCCCTGCCCAAGGGGGGGACCCACGCAGGACTTTCCACCGCCTTCGGACATGCGTCCCTGATGCCAACTAGCTTATCTTATACTCTTTTTTCGTCCGTTGACTTAAATCCCCTGGCCTCCAGAACTCCTTTGAATCCTGCTGCTGCCGTGGGATCGATGTAATGAGACCGTTGTCTCCGCCAGCGCCCCCTTCCGGCTATACTGTTTTCCAATCCCATTTCGGACGTGAGAACACCACCACCTAGGGTGCTCGCCTGCTCCGCTCCGCCTCTTCCCTCCGAGGAGAAGGACTAGGACTAGGAGGAGGAGGAGGGAGCGGTGGACGAAGGGGAGAGAGAGAGAGAGAAGGACTAGGACTAGGAGGAGGGAGCGGTGGACGAAGGAGAGAAAGAGAGTCCACCAGGAGACTGGAACACACACACACACACATTGCTGGATCACATGTGGAGCATCTGGAGGCCACGTGCTGGATACACAATGCGAAAGCCTGGCCTTCACGGCCACAGTAATTAGGGCCGTGCGCTGATAAGACATCGGTCCACATGTGCATGCAGCTCTCGCTAAGGCGTGCCGCGTCATGTGCATCCAGCTTCCAGGTAGGAAGGAGGGGGAGATAAAGTGGGGGGCCCGACCACAAGAAACCTTCCACTCGAAACCCAGCCCTGAGACCCCAGGGCGTCCGTGGATTTTTGGTGTGGGAACGTCACGCTATCCATAGCAAAACCATCGAAACCCAGGAAACCCATGGCACCCTGCAGGCGAGCAGGGCGTTTCTTGGCATGGGACTCCACCGTAGAACAGAAGGCAGGGGCAAAGGGCAGTCGCAGGGGCCTGCAACCTCTCCATGGTGCGCTCCAGGTTCAGGGCCGTCTCGGGGATCTTGAGGTTCTGCCTCGGATCAGCGGCGTGGGGAGATGGAGACAGCCATCCCATCGGTGGCGAGGCGCCCAGTGGGCTCTCTAGAAGGAGAGGCCGCGTTCCTCATATTTCCTGCGGTCCCATCGCACCTCGCTCATCCCGCGCTCCTGTTTCCCCCTGTCGTTGCCACCTCCCTCCCACATTCCCCTCCCCTCCCGCCTCCAAAGTTGCACAATATGAATGCTACTCTCCTCGCTCCCCCCAAGGCCCCGAGGTCGTAGCCTGCCCCCCTCCGCGTAAGGTGATCGATCAAATGTGCTGTTCCAATCCGGACGTCTTCGATGTTTCCAAAATGGCGCTCCCGCTACAGCGTTGAACGCATTGTCTGGCTCTCGGTCCTTCCAAAACATAACCCCGCTGCAACGCTGACCTCCTTTCTTTGTTGCGGATCTTCCAAACCGTGTTCCCGCTACAACGTTGGCTCTCAATTTACGCTGCCGCTCTTTCCAAACCGTCCATGGACACTGTCGTCTTGCGTCATGCCTGGTTTCCTCAGAGCCTGCTGTCTAAATGAATCGTGTCCTGGACAAACGCTGGCTCGCATTATACGCTTCCAGTGTGTCCGCAGAGTCCAGTTACATTTCCCGTCCTGCGTCATGTCTGGTTTCCCTCAGAACCTGTTGTCGAACAAGAAGTCGTGTTCTCGACCCGACGACGCTCTGCCGTGCTCTTCCTTGCCGTGGTACGCCGTGCTCTACCATGTATCTCGCACCCTTTCGGGAACATTGCCTTGCTCGACATCAGACTGTGCGAGTAGACCAGAGATCTACGCCATGGCAAGGGATGGCAGGAAGGGGTAGGACGTCAGCTAAGACGCTTGCGCACCTAGCTTGCCTTTCTCATCTCTCCTCTCTCTCCTCTCTCTCTCTCTCTCCTGCTCCCCGTCCTCCTCCTGCTCTTCTCCCTCCTCCTCCTCCTCCTCCTCCTCCTCCTCCTCCTCCTCCTCCTACTCCCCCTCCCCCTCCTGCTTCTCCTCCCCCTCCTGCTCCTCCTCCTCCTCCTCCTCCTCCTCCTCCTCCTCCTCCTCCTCCTCCGTCCCTTGCTCCCCCTCGTCCTCCCTCATCATACTGTGGGTCCGAAACGGTGCGTCGACAGACTATCCGGCGACCTCGAAATCCCAAGAGGTCTCACCGCATGGTCCGTCACAGCACGGTTTGGGGGATCTCGGAGGTCGGAGCCACTCGAGACGTCCTCGAAGCACGGCGCAAACCCCAAACCGTGCGGTCACCCCGGCTCACCACTGACTCACCACGGATCATACCATCATGCTCCACAGTCTCCCTCAACGGCCAGTGCCATTGCCAGATGGCCACATCGCCCCAGGGGCCCGTGGCCACAGCATCGCAGCCTAGTGGGTGGGGGCGAAGAACTGCGGGCGCGCGACGGGCGACCGGGGAACCATTGAGGCCCTTGCCTGTTGGCGATCGCAGTCTCGAACACCTGATGGGGCGTGGGCAAAGGAGGGGAAGAGGGCGAGGAGAGAGGAGGAACCCTGATACCCTTCGTCGCAAAATGATGCAACACGGATATCCCCAGATGTGTATCCCATGTCCTGGAACTTCCCGCTGTGAGTTTCTCAGTGAGACCGTCTTAGCCTGTTGCGACTGAGCGCTCACTGGCGGCTGCCCCATTGGCGTGTCCTGGTGCCATGCCTGCGGCATCGCGGTGATCCTGGGGCTATCAAAGGAGAGAAACCGGGGAGTCTAAACCAGCGCTTCGCTTGAGGCGTCCCCATGAACTGGGTGCGGACGGGCAAATGTGCTAGCCCCTGGTGGCTCCTTCTTGGACCTGCCCAAGCGCTATGCCTGCTGCATCGTGATGATCATGAGGCTTTCCAGACGAGAGGAGCCCGCTGCGCCAACCAAGCGAACCGCTGCGCCAACCAAGGAACCCCTCGACGTGCACGACCAGGAAAATTGAATACCTCCTGGAGGCACCCCTTTGGGGTGCCCACGCGCCACGCCTGCTACATCGCGGTGATCGTGAGGGTCTCCGAAAAAAGAAATCGGTGGCGCCAAACAAGCGAACCGCTCGAGGCATCCCCAATCTGAACACGACTGGACACATTGAATACCCCCCAGCGGCTCCCCCTTGGGGTGCCCAAGTGTAATGCCTGCTACAGCGCGGTGATCGGGAGGCCCTCAGAACAGATGAGAGGGCGGCGTCAAACAAGCGAACCGCTCGAATCATCTCCACAACCTGGGCGCGAACGGGAACGTGAAAAACTCCTGGGGGCTCCCCACTGGGGTGCCCAATTGCCACGCCTGCTGCATCGCGGTACTGTATTCATGAAAGTCTCGAAGAGAGGAGTCGGAGGTGCCAAGCAAGCGAACCGCTCGAGGCATCTCCAAGATCAGGGCACGACCAGACATTTCGAGTAAGTACCCCTTGGCGGCCTCCCCCCCTTGGGGTGCCAAAAATGCCAAGCCTGGTACATAGTGCAAAACATGAGCGATTCTGAGTATTTGTGATCTGCGTGTGAGTGAGATAGAGTGATGGTGAGTCTGAGTATGAATGAGTCTGAGTGTAAATGATCCGAGCATGAGTGGCCTGTGCGAGTCTGAGTGTGAGTGAGTCTCAGTGTAAGCGAGTTGGAGTGTGAATGGGTCTGGGTGTGATTGATTCTGAATGCGAAGTTGTCCCAGTGTGGACGGTCAGAGCAAAGTATGGTAACCAGTGACTCTGAGTACCAATGTATATGAGTATTTAGTGCCTGAATGCGAACAGGACTGAGGCGGAGGCATCACACGAACAACAAGAACCTCATCTTATGATAAGCGGCCGCTCGCTGGCCCCAGGCCGTCAAAGCACCACGAACTCAGGACGCAACGCCAACCCAGGGGGATGGGTCGATATTCTGGGGGGCCACGTCAGGAACAAGAATGCGACGTTGGATAAGAGGGGAGGAGGGGAGAGGAAGCAGGTGAAGCTGGGGGGAGTTAGAGAAGGCAGTGGAGGGAGAGGAAGGGGACCTGTGCGTTTCATTCGAGAGAGCCGTGGACAAAGTCGGCGGCAAATCGAAACCAGGGAGGCTCCCCCCCACCAACAAAAAAAACATTGGGGGCCACTTTCTCGAGGACCCCACTGATCGCTAGGGACAGCCCAACAGGGCGCGATCCCGATTCCCATGCCTCCTCCCCTCTCCTCCAAGTTCCTTGGTTCCTAAGGGCATGAAGATCTGGCGAATGTTGCCCTCCCACCCGCTGATCAAACGAATAGCCGGGTGAATGTTCTCGCTAGCTGAGTCTGCTACAAGATGTAGATGAAAAAAATGCCTGTCCCCCTCCTCCTCCTCCTCCTCCTCCTCCTCCTCCTCCTCCTCTTCATCCTCCTTCTCCTGCTCCTCCGCCTCCTCCTCCTCCTCCTCCTCCTCCTCCTCCTCTTCCTCCTCCTCCTCCTGCTCCTCCGCCTCCTCCTCCTCCTCCTCTTGCTCATCCTCCTCCTATTCCTCCGGTGCCTCCATCCGACTCCTCTGTCCCCTTCGCATCGTCGTCCTCATCCTCCGCATCGTTGTTTTCTTGTGCACGTGCTGCGCTTCCTCCTTGCTGCTCACCCTCCTCCCCTTGCTCCACCTCCGCTCCTCTCTGTCTCTAAACCGTTGCCCACGTCTTGCGAATGCTCTGCCCAAGCAAACACTGCACAGATTCCCAGCGCCACCTCCGGTACTGCGCAACCGCCTCATCCTCACCCTCTCTATCGTCGCCCTGCCCCTCAGCCAAAATTCGCACATCGCCTCTCTTTTGAGCGACTCCGTGAGCTTCGCTGCCTTGAAGATGTCCCAAGCGTCCGCGTGCACGGTCATGTTACGTAGCCCATGCTCGGCGACCTTGTGGCAGCAGCATCTGAAACTGCGTTTGTTCGACGGGAGAGAGGCCAAGAGGTCAGAGCGCAACTGGAAGCTCTTTGCGCCGCCAATGGGCGCGCTGCTGCACGCGATGCGCACTGTGCAGCAGAACTTTCGCCGAGACGCTCGGACTGAGCATCACATGGTGGCGTGTCTCTGCTGTACGGCTGCGGACAAAGCGGCCGAGGCCAAGGCCATCCAGGAGCCCGACACTCTGGCTCCCGAGGAGGTCCCGAGTTCCCCAGACCGCGGCCAGTGGCCGCCCCGCGCGCTCGCCGGCTGTTCCATACTCTCGCCAGGGCGAGCCTTCGTGGCCGTCGCGCTGCCCAGCGTTCTTGGATGGACGCGCAGCGCAAACCGCATAGCTGGCACGGTATACATCGCACCGCCTGCATTCCTGATCCTCTACCACCACCACCCGTTGAGGCTGTGCTTGTCTGGTTTCCTCGGCTGCTCGTTTGCTTGCCATGCTGCCATGGACGGCCGTACAGTCACACGTGTAAGAATCCCATGCCAGCCAACGCGTTCTCGCGTCCCCTGAATCCCTGACAAACTGCCGTGTGGTGCACACGCGTTGATCAGTCAAGCGGGCTTGGTCCGCTTCATGATCACGCGAATCACACCAAGCCGGCCAGAGGCGCACGCATTCCCACGACCATGCCAACATGAATCCCAAACCAATTGGCAACGATGAGAAATGTTTTTGGTTACAATCATGAAAAGCCATTTGCAGTGCCCTGCGCGCGCTCTCGCTGACACCTTTAAAACATACATGCGAATTCGGCCGTTCTGCCGAATGTGACCATGCGGGCCGCACGCGCGCCGTGGTGATCCACGTCATCATCGTCATCGGCATCGCCGTTGTCGTCACCTTCAGCGTCAGCGCCACTATCGTCGCCATCAGCATCACCATCAGCACTCGCCCGCTCGAGCCATGGATCTGCATGAGAAGGGCCATCGCGTCATCACGAGAAGGAAACTATGCCTACAAGTTGCGGGTGGGTGGAAGGGATGATTGCTCGAGCATGGGAATTTACTACGAACGTGGGAGTTGAAGACTTCAAGGTCTGAATGAATAATTTGAACACGTAGGTTGCACCACAAATCTTGCACCACGTATGCCGCACCGCAGAGACTGCAGTGACTGCACCCCATAGGTTGCACCACGTAGCGTGCACATCACGTATGCAATAATCCAACGTTGTGGCTCCGCGCTGGCGACGATCCCGTGTCTGTCAGAGCACGACCGCAGATTGTGCAAGATCACCGCGACATGCGCGACAAAACCCACGAGTGGGAACCGCCACCAACAGCGAGCGATCTGCAATTCGTCCAGAAATCGCATCGGCGCCCTGGGCGAGAAAGCGTCAACAACACTGCATGAGACCTCTGCTCTGATCTCGTCTGCGCTGCCCGGGCAAGGCCCAGACAGACCCAGGATGGGCCCAAGAGGCCCAGGGAGACCCGAGGAGGGCGCAGGCGGCCCCAAGGAGGCCATATGTTCGCAGAAGCCCTGCGTCCGCACAAGCCCAGCCTGTGCTCGCGACGACTCAGATAGAGCGTGCACGAGCACGCGGGGGTTCTGCTTTGGGCGCCCTGTAAGCATGAGATCTGTGAGGAGCGGGCCAGAGTGGGCAGGCGGGCGTATGCGGGCGGATGGACCCACCAACGCCGCACAGTATTTGCTGGGGTGGAGCGCGAACTCCTCATCCCTTGCGTCCTCATCTCCTTGTCCTCCGCCTCCTCCTCTTCCTCATGAAACCTCCTCCCCCTGCTCCTCCTCACCCTTCCCCTCCTCCTCCTCCTCCTCCTCCACCTCCTCCTCCTCCTCCTAAAGGCCGTCCACGGCG